TCTGAGTCTACGTGCTCGCAACTGTGACTCCTACAAAGCGGTCACCTCACACTCTTACCGTCTCACTGTATCACTCTATCAGTGTATCTCTGTTACTCACTCTATCTGCTGGGTATTCACTGGCAGCAGTACAAGTACAAGTACACACTGGTCGAGTCCACTTGTATGAAAAAGGGGTGGACCCCATAACAATATTTTAAACGACTAAAACAAGCTATTTAGCTTGAGCTCCTTGATAAAATCCGAAGAATAATCAACAATATTATTGGTCCTAATCTGGCAACCCAGCTTCAGTCACTTTCTCACCACCGTAAGGTTGCCTCTCTGTGCCTTTTTTTTATAAATGATTTCATGATAATTGTTGGGTTGAGATCTTTGCTATGGCACATAGACATTTGGAATTTAATCGCAGGACTAGACTGTCGTCGAGATCTCATCAATTTCAGTTGATTTGGCTAGATGTAACCATAATTTCTATGCTAATAGCTTAATTTCCCGCACTTCTATGTTGTGGAACTCCCTTCCGGCTCCATGCTTTCCAGCCGAAGTTTAATCTGCAAAATGTTAAATGCAATGTCAATCGGTATCTACTGTCATCCTGAATATTCTTCCCGCCCCCAATCAACAATAATCTTTCTGTTTTTAATTCTTCCATACCCTGTGATCCCTTGTGTCTTAGTGGCTTTAGTGCCTTGCACGGGGTGGTACCGATTAAAAAACAAACAAACAAAAAGAAGTAATTAATCTTAATAACATTTAAACAATAGCGGTTAAAACAGTTTTCAGCTGTGTATTCAATTTCTAGTTTTCAGAAAAAGATGAGCAGAAGTAATTATTATATATATTTAATATTATTGATTGTGGGCCAATGAACAAGGGCTGATCTGAATATCGGGATGTCGGGGGGGGGGAGAGTAGATGAGTATCAATCAAAACAATGTCCTGGATAAACATGCTTCAAATAGAGCGGCAGTAGAGGCCGACTAACTTTGTAGTGCTTTGCTTTGTTGACCTTTTCAGATAAGAAATAAAGCAGGAATAGGAAAGTAAAGCAAAACTTACAAGATTATAATACAACAGCGATTTATCTGGCACTAGGCCAAATAATTTAGAATGTGATAAACTTTTGTGGGGGAAAAAAGTCATTATCACAAAGGATAATGAGGCCGAAAAAGATTCTTTCATCAGAAAAATTATTATATTGTTATAATCGTAATCGATAGCATATTAACTGGCTTGGTATATACACGAAAACGGATTGGCGTATGAAGAGGTATCGTAAAATTATCGGCTCGAACACATATCCCAGAATCTGAGTAAATGACCAATATGAGAAATTGTTTTAGAATCTTCTTTTCTCTTGTAAGAATTTTTCAGTCCACCTATCTATCTATCTATCTATCTATCTCTCTCTCTCTCTCTCTCTCTCTATATATATATATATATATATATATATATATATATATATATATATATATATATATATATATATATGTGAATATGAACTAAATAACGAGATATTAGCAACTGTATATGCGTGCGATAAGCGTGCATATACAGCTAAGCATATAAATATTTATTTTATTTAATTTATGGTGCAAACAAAACAGGGCCCAATGTAGTTAAACAGGGTTATGAAGTATATATTAATAAATACATATATAAGGACGTTTGTAGTGCAATTTTTTTCTAAATACTCGGTCTTATGGGAAGAACGCTCAATTATACGCAGATTCAAAACTCAAAGTCAATATAAACTCAATATATTATTGGGCTGTAAATTTAAAATATAGAATGTTTGGAGGGAGATATTGGAAAAAACAAAGCACAAAAAGTTTACATGGTATATGTTTTTCCGTTGGGGAAAAAGAATTAAGTTAAAAAATGAAACGCTTATGATTAAATAGGACGGGGTAGGCGAGGTGAAATGTATTTTTGCTTATAAGTAATCTTTATGTTTCAAGGCAGTAACAATACACAGTGTATAAAGCTATCGTTTAATATTAGGATATAAAACTTTCGTTTAATATTTGGATATAAACTAAAAAAAAAATAAAAGTGTACATAGAAAAGGTACAAGGTGAAAAAATTTTTTTAAAAATTAAATAAAAGAGGAACGTCATGTAAGCCGTTACGTATTAATAGACGCTTAAATGGTTAAAGGTGGGTTGTATTTAACCTAAAATATTTAATCGGCAGTTGAAGTTGGGTAAAAAATATTTATCCAGAATCAAAATACTTTAGGAAAGAGCTTCTTTTATAGGTGCAAGCTATCAAGACTCATTACGTTTGTTTAGCAGGTTGGGGTCATTAATATTTTTTCCAGCAAACAAAGGTTGCATCAGTCGTCGCGACCAGAAAAGGGTGTAGTTTTGGCGACGCAATTTGAATTTACTACCGGAGTATAGTTATTTATCTTAATTTTCTAGTAAAATTTTAAGAGAGCCGTTTGAATATTGTTTATTAGTAAGAATCATTTTATGGTGGTAATACCGAGTTTTCCAGTGGTTCGCAATGGAACCAAATTAAAACTTAGTCACGCTATTATATTTAATGCTAGTCTTATAAATAACGCCTTTATTCATACATTTATGATTTAGTGGACAGGTACTGTTTTTTCGACAATTACATGTTTTGTCTGAAATAATATTGCTATTCAGGTTGTTTAAATATTTGTTTAATGTTATATTATTATGTTGTGCTATATACTGTTCAAAGTTTTTGTTGCAGCTGTAGCTAATCTTAATCTTGTTCTAGTTGAAGATTTATTTGAGCAATGGTATATGGCTGAAATGTTTGTGGATTACATTATTGAAAATTTTACCTATATTGGTTTTGACATTTTTGTTAAATGGTGAGTTAAACCAAATTATGTTGCGTGTTCTATTCTTATGTATTGTTAGCATTCTTACTAATGTTTATGTATTCTAGCCTAACTTTGTGGTTACGTTTTTCTAGTGCATTTACATATTTAGTTTTATATTTGTCAAAATTAATTATATATATGGGGAAAAATGTATTACAAAGTGTGAAAAAAATTTCTTTTGACACGTTTCTTTAGGATATCATCGGACTAAATTTATTATGTTATGTGAATACGCATGCGCACAAAGCAAGGATGATGGGAATTTTCTTTTTTTTTTAAGCCAGCCGATTTCATTTCTTTTTCTTTACGTCATTTTTTGTTAGTACATATCCCCCACTGTGATAATGGTAGTTCTGCCGCGAATGGGGATTATGTGAAGACAAAAGCGACATTTTACTAAACAATGCATCAAACCGCTAAAAAGACTGACCAAAATTTTGACATAAAAACGCTACTCTGATGAAATTTTTTTTTTTTTTTAATCATTTCACCTCAAGCAAAGCGGGAAGCCACTAGTACGCAAGGGGTTACAAAAAATTTAGAGCAAGATCAGATAGGAGTGATAGAAGAAAGGATGAGGGTAGTGGATAGATCAAGGCAACTGGATATGTCGATTGACATTACACTTGAATAGCTGGAGATTATAGCTCTCAGTGAAACTGGAATAAGGAAGGGAGTTCCACAGGCGAGAGGTGCGAGACATGAAGCTATTTGAGTAGAAGAGACGGCTACATTTAGGAGTTTCGACAGTGAAAGTGTGAGAGCGGGATGCCATCCTCGTACGGCGCTTGAACTCATGACGTCTGGGAACCAGCGAATGCAGCTCCTCGGAGCAATTACCATGAAAGTATTTGTAGAACAGACAGAGGGAGGCGACGGCGCCTCTGTGAGAAAGTGACTGTAGACGAGATGCTAGAGCAGGGCCAACTACATTGCATATCCGCCTCTGGAGCCTATCAAGAACCCCGAGGCAAACAGAAGGGGCACCAGACCATATATGGCAGCAATACTCCATGCAAGGGCGAATTGTTGATTTGTAGATCTGGAGGATCGATTCCGGGGAGAAAAACTTCCTGGTGCGGCACAGGGAGCCAACTTTCCTTGCGGTGGACGAAGCAATTGACTCAATGTATTTATTCCATCTCAGCCGCAGAGAGTTGCTCTCGAGAAGTTGAGCGTCAGACATTCTAATGGAGGGCAAGATAGGATCTCTATGGTGATTAATAGAGAGCAGTTTTGTTTTAGAAGCGTTGAAGTTGACCAGCCAATTCTGGCCCCAGTTCAAAAAGTGAGAAAACAATTCACTACGACGATGTCTATAGAGTACCTTGATCGCAAGGTCATCTTCAGTAAATTTGTGCCTGGGCCCTTAAAGCATTTCACCAATCCTAGCAGAACTTCTATTATCGCAGTGTCGGATATCTAATAACAAAAGTGACGGAAAGAAAAAGAAAAAGTATCAAAAGTTTTCAGAATTTCATTTTTTTATATTTTTATTTTAACAAAATGTGTTATTTTGTCATCAGAGTATTTTGTATATTTTTATGACCTTACACTACCTTTCAGTTAAAATGTACTGGAAATTTTAAATGAATTTATATATATATATTATGAAATGGACAGAGTCCGACAATTATTTTAAGACGTTTTAAAGTTTATACCTTCTTTTTATAGATACAAATATTTAAGTAAATAAATAGTATTCATAACATTTACCAGCCTGAATGTCCGAGAAATTTTCATAGAAAATATTCGCTCTCCAACAGGAATCGAACCTGTATACTATACGGAACCGTCATTTAGCCTGACGTGCCTTAACCGATCAAACCACGGAGAATCGTTCGATTAGCAAGGTCGATTTTACTATTTTTAAACTACAATGTTCCATGAATCTCTCACGTACATTCATATCTGCTCAAAGCGTATCCAAATGTAAACAAATGACGTCACACATTATAAAAAGAATGTATAAACAAAAAAATGTCTTAAAATAATTGACGGAATTTGTCCATTTCATAGAATTGACCCTTTTTTCCGCTTCTACTTTGTCTTCTTCAAGCAATCGGGTTTTTCATCTTTTTCTTTTTTTCCTTGCTTTCACAAATTTCCAGTTCTTTGTGTATTTAGTGTTTCTATGTTTCTCTGTTTTTCTTCTTCCTTCTTTTCTTTTTCTTCTTCTTTGACCCAACGCCCACATTACGCTGAAACCCCGTTTCGCGTACGATCACCGAATTTAAGCAACGTCGACATGGGTGACCGCTTGGAACTACCAGATACTGTGAGTTCGGATATGAGGGTGGTGTAATGGATAATGGCTTGGAATGGAGCCAATTTCCAATGTCAATTGGGTTCTTTATATTCAATTGCACGCAAATACTTTTGTGAAAGGTATGAAATCACTAATTTCCCCCAGCTATGAGTTAATTAAAAAGACTTGTATCACTAAATGATTATTATGTCAAAAAAAGAAAAATTCTTACACTATAAAAATATTCTCTTGATTTAAATAACCTGCAAAGAAAACGAATCACTCAAAAAAATCTTCATCATCATCATCTTCTTCCTCGATGAAACGGAACTACAAAAATGAAAAGTCATCAGGTCGCCATCATTCAATAAAGTTTAATTTAACTTGGATAACGATAGGAATTTACGATTTATTGAGTCAAATTATTTTCAGTGACACAGAGTGAAAGACAATTGTTACGGTTCCTGTTCTTTTTCCGCTTCTTCTTCTTCTTCTTCTTCTTCTTCTTCTTCTTCTTCTTCTCCTTCTTATTCTTTTCCCTCTTCTTCTTCTTTTTCCTCTTATTTTTCTTCTTTTTTATCTTTTTTTCCTCCTCCTCCTCCCCTTCTTCTTTTTACGCTTCTTCTTTTTTCCTTTAATTCTTCTTCTTCTTTTTCTTCTTCATTTTACGCGTCTTCTCCTTCCGCTTCTCCTTTTCCCTCCTTTTCTTTCTTCTTCTTCTTTTTCTTTCTTCCTTTCATTCTTTCTTTCTTTCTTTCTTTCTTTCTTTCTTTCTTTCTCCTCTTTTTTCTTTTTCATTTTCTACTTCTTCTTCTTCCTCCTCCTCTACTTTTTCTTTTTTTCTTTTTCTTGTTCCTCCTCCTCTTCTTCTTTTTTTCTCTTTCTTCTTCATTTTCTACTTCTTCTTGTAAATGTTTTTGGGATTTCTAACAAGAATTCAGACGTGTCCAAAAGTGCTTCTATGCCATAAAGTAAAAAAAGAATAACATTCCTTTGTCTGACATTGTTAATCGACTGATCGATATGTAAATTATAAAGAAAATGCGAGATAACATTGCAAAAACAAAAAAAAAAAACGCCATCTTACCAACAGATATTTACGGCCAGTTTTTTCTCTTCCCATTTTATACGCGCCTCAATATCTGTTATACTTCTACGTTCATATATCTCAATTATCATGGCTACCAGTTTTGATTTTAATAAATATTCAACAAAACGGAGATTATTATCTGCGAATCCTGTTTGCAGTTCAATAATAATTTTACTACATTTTGTGATTTTTCATTTAGAGATGTTTTAGAGTTGAATCTGAGTTTCTTTCACACTTTCTTTATTTTGCCCCCCCCACTTCCCGGTCACGTTTTTATTTTCCCTTTTCCAATTCCCCATTCCAATCGCCCCTCATTCTGCTTTTCATTTCCTTTCTTTCTTTCAGCTTTGCTCCTTTTACCCCATTGACTATATTTTCTCGCGGTATCTTATAAGACATGGATTTTTTTTTCTCTACATGTATCTCAAAATATTTCCTTCTTTTCATCTCGTTTTTCCCTGTGTAATCAAAACTTTCTTATTCATATTCTCTGTTTTATTTCAATAAATTTCTTACCTATGGTTTATCTTTTGTCCATCACAATATTGTCTATTTGTTTACTTATTAAACGCTGCATTTTCCTATTCACTATTAGTCAGATTAAAACGAATAGAAGTGTTACTTGGATTTTCAATCCTAGAAAAAATAATATGTAAACAACAAAATCAGTAAATGTATAAAAATAAACGTAACCTTAGAAACTGTCACCGTTACACTGAATTGGTACCATTCAGGGGAAATGGTATCAATTCATTTTAGTACCAGACTTCTTCTACCATTCTTTATCTTTACAAGAATCAGATTAGACCAGAAAATGGTGTATTTCTGCTAGATCCGGATAGTTGCTGCATAATCCTTACTTTCCAGCGTTGGTATAATGTAGAATTGTTTACGCGTTCTTGTGGGGTGAGGATTTAATCTCCAGACTGCAGCCTCTTTCATACAAGAACAACATTGCAAGCCTATCGCCACACTATTACTATTTCCATGGCAAATGTTCACTGATCACCATTTTTTTAGTTACATCAATTCAGACATTTACAGATAGGAATTTATTACGTTTGTATATTAGTTTTTAAGTTCCAGTGAGACAAAAAATAGTACTTTCTGTGAAGATGCTTTGCAGAACACTTTAATCTTAACCTTTTCAAGCCAATGGTCAGTTGTTAACTTTCCTTCCGGTCTGTCACTTCCTACCACTTCCTCTTTCATTCATGTAACACACGTCATCTATTAATAACCATTTTAGCAATAATTCTTTATCTTGAGTGGTTCCCGAGCCTTTTCTTCGTTTAAATTAGTCTAAAAAAGAAAAAAAGAAAAAATATACAAATGGTAGGAACAATTTTAGTTGATTAAAGCAGTGAAATTAATTGGAAAATGGATTTTCTCCTAAAAGGATAAATCTCTCCTTTTTTTTTTTACATTCACTTTTCCTCCTCATCGTCAATAAAGAATTGTTCTTAAATATCGCAATTAATTTGAACTGATTTCACAGATCGATAAGAAAAAGGTGAAAAAGAATGACAAGAATGCTGTTGTCACCTACAATCTAATGGGATTGCAGAAAGAAAATACCTAAGATAAAAGTATGTCCAACCATATCGGAAAGAAATTCTACCAGATGAAACGAATGCAGTTGGTGTGTGGTTTGACCATTTGCCGAATGAAATTCCAATTCAGTAAGTGTTTTGTTCCATTGTAAATCGATCCTTGCAGGAATATTGACTTTCTCCATCTGTACTTTTATTTGTTGCCTTTTCGTCGCAAAACAGATTTCAATATTTTATTCCTCACATGGTAAACAATTTAATCACAAAAACATTTCACTTGGAACTGTAAAGCCCTCCCTCCTAGAACCAAACATGTAACCTCATATTATCAACTACTGGACAATGACTTTTCACCTATCATGGTGAGTGGTTGTTCTCCCAATAGGCTTCTTTAGTTTGAACGCCTATTCATTGTACTTGAACTTTTTCCACAAACTCTTTCCTCCTGATCCCCTTGAGGTTTATGTCCTGTTCTTTTTATGAAGATCTTGGTCTAATCTCATCGTCATCCGTTTGCTTCCGCTATCATCCATAGGCACGTCTTTTGTCATATTATCCTGATCTGAAGAACTCATTCTTTCTTCTTCGACAAGATCTTCTTCCATCACATCTTCGTCTTCAATTCTCAGTCAGAAGGGGCCATTCTTTTTGCAATCCCCTTAGATTGTCGGTGATATGATGGCGTTTTGTCTGGGAAGTAACCAATCCACCTTAACCAATTACATAAATCCTCATCATAAAATTCTGGAGCGTTGTCTGATACCAATGTTTTAGGGACCCCATTTCTAGAAAGTGTCACTCTTTATTGTAGGCGCTTCTATCTTTAACGACTTCAGAGCATCCAGAAAAGGAGTCTGCTAAAATTAGAAATAGTCATATGCCATAAATATACACATGATTCATATGAATAGAAGACCATAGTTTCGTTTCTTTAGGAAATGAATGTATTCTCCTTTCTCGAAGTTTATTTATTTCTACACATTTTGGGCATTTATGTACATATCTTTCTATATCGTGATAATACCCTGATCACCATTCCTTCAATTTTGATTTCTGCATAGCTGTTATTCTACAATACACATTATCATGTACAATACTTAAAATATCTTTTCTTACTGTTTCTAGTGATAGTATCGCATCTCTATTGTTAATTTATACCTTATTTCTTTATAATGTCTTTCTGCTTCGGAAAAATTACCACCTGTTTCTTCCTATTCTCTCAGTAATTTTGCTTATTATCAGACCTTGTAAAGTTTCCGATGCCAATCTTTGTAGAGATAATATGTCAGTTTCAACCCAATGTTATATTATTTATCCGGGATTTCCATTTTTTTCTTTTTAATCCTCGTTAAATTGTAACCTTGACAGCGCATCGACATCTCGTGATGTATTTCCTTTTACATACTCAGTGTCAAAATCATATGCCATCAATTTTATTGACCACTTTCTGGAAGAGTTACTTTTGATAGCTTCTTTCTAGGGTTAAAAATAAACTGTAGAGGTTTATGGTCCGACTTTAATAGGAACCTTTTTCCTAATAAGATTTTCCATATCTGACTTTGCTCCAGACAATGATCAATGCCTCTTTTTCAATATTTGAATAATTTATTTTTGCTGCCATCAATCGTTTTGAAAACTACATTATTAGATTGCCTTCTTGCAATAAAATAAATGACACAACTCGCTCACTCGCATCCATAGATAACTTAACCACCTTTTTGGGGTTTAAAGATTTTTACCATGGGTTTTTCTTTTTTAAAACCTTAAACGCTAAGTTTTGTTTTTGAGTCACTTTGAATTCTTTTACGCAGTTCAGCAAATAGTTCGATTAAGTCGCTGTATTTTGGTAGGTATCTATTCTGAAAATTAACCTATCCTAAAAAGGATCCTAATTCTTTTTTTATTAAACTGCGTCTAGAGAATATATGCAAAAGAGGTATTGTCAAATATTTTATGTAAAATTCATAGATATGTGTTATCCAATGAAATAATTTGTACTATTATGTATAGCGAGTAAGCATGAAAGCAATTAAGTCCCAATTTTCAATTTCAGATTGATAATTAGTATTTTTTCAATAATTATAGCAACTTGCAGTGTCAAGAGATTATTTGCAAGAACTAGAATTTAGTATTATGGCTCGTAAAAAAAACTAACAATGAATGAAAAAAAACTATATAATCCAAGAAATTAGCAAAGGAAAGTCTTCGCTTCAAATTTCTAAGGATTTGAAAAGGGATCATCGAACAATCAAGAAAATATGTTAAATGGGAATTCGACCAAGGGAGAAAAAAAGTCTCAGGCTGAATTCAGGAATTTAACAAAGCGAGATCTATCACATATCCGAAGAGAATTTAATAAGAAACCAAATGCGTCAAGTGCGTTCATATTTGTGGCCGCTGGAGCTCCTATGGTGTCAAGGGAAACAAGGGGTAAAGCATTAAGGAAGTTTGCTGATGTAAAAAATTAGATAAAGAAACCCATTTTAACAAAAAAACATAAGGAAAGAAGTGGGCAAAAAAATACATGAAAACTGATTTCAGTAAAGTGCTTTTTACAGAAGAATCAAGGATCACCCTCGATGGGCCCCATAGATGGGCTCAAGGATGGGTTTGCAAGCAACATGACTCAAGAAACATTTTTTAAACGCCAACAATGCGGCGGTGGGATCATGATATGGGCTGGGATTATTGGTAATGAGCTCGTGAGTCCATTTAAACTGAAAGACGGAGTTAAAATGAATTCCAAAAGTTACTGTGATTTTCTAGAACAATATTTCTTTGAATGGCTTGATAACCAGTATTTAGCCAAGCGTAGATCTACGATCTTTATGCAAGACAACGCACCAAGTCATGCATCAAAGTTTACTAAATCCTGGTTGAAAGAAAAGGGATTTGTTGAAGATTCTCTTATGGACTGGCCTTCAAATAGCTGTGACTTGAATCACATTGAGAACCTATGGAGCATCCTCAAGAGAGATATTTATTCTAATGGAAGGCAATTCAACAGCAAGTGTGACCTCTGGGAGGCAGTTAAAGTTGCTGCAAACAACTTACCAGCAGCTAAAACTGCAAATCTAACATCAGATGTTGACAATAGGCTGTTAAGAGTTATTGAAAAGAAAGGAGCATTTGTGCAATAAATTTTAGGAGGTTCTTATTATTTTTTGTTAATATATCTTTTATTTTTAAAATAATTTTTTTTTAATGTTTTTCCTTTAAGAAATTGACGAATTTGTTTTAAAATCTTTTCATATTATTTTTCTACATTAGTTTTACAAGGTATAATA